GTATGACTTCCTGAATGATTCACCAGCCCAGGATAGTGTAGTCTGCCTGATCACTTTAAAGTAGCATTTGGAACACTATTTATTACCATAAGCATTTATCTGTTATATATGTATATATATGTAAACCAGTGCTTTTGACAAATTAGTAAATTTGACACATGGTTGCAGAAAAAATACCAAACCAGTCTTCAAAGTGTCTCATTTGGGAAAATATTCATATTATGGGAAATGCTCCTTTTTTGACTTTCCATTATATGTGGTTTTCACTAATTTTCATTAATAGGCTCACTAATACATCAGTGGAAGTCTATTGTTCAATATGTTTCATCTTTTCATATTCATTCTGTATTGTATCATTTGTATTCACTTTGGTGTACACTCTTTTGATCTGCATCTTATCACATTAATGATTTTATTACAAATGACATTGTAATACAATGACTTCAATATTCTGTTGACATATTTAAATGCTAATAATTCAAAGTTGATCAAAACACATGCACATGGCAAAAAGATCAGTCCTAACACAAGGCTGACAAAGCTACTAGAAAAATATAAAACTCATTAATGACCAAAATATCAGACACTTTTAATGATGAACAATGTGAATCTAGAAGTAATTTAACAAACTATTAGTTCATCATTTGTGACTAAACACATTTCCAACAGCAGAAACTGACACCAACTTTTAGCTCTCATATTTCTTATGTTTATTTACATCTCTTTTGCCATCTCATTTATTTTTATTCACAGTATGCCTGTATTAGTTTTGCTCCCTGAGGATATGTTGTCCATAGTTTTCAGGCTGTTCTTCATATTAAGACATTTCCCCTCTTCCACATCTTTTCATTTCTGTGTGTCTGTAGTAAATGCACAAAATCCAGGAAGCTGAGGTGAATCTGAAGCTAGGCAAAAAGAACTTTCTTTCATCCCTACTGCATGTGGTTCTGGCATAATTATTTTCAGAAATGCGATCATACTGGTCACCTTATAATATGTCCATGATAATTTACCTTTTTTTTTTTTATGTAGTATCAGATAATTGCAAACCAAAGAGATTGTGCTTCAGTTGGGACTATTTAGGTGTGGGCAGCTGAAGATTCTGTATAAGATTATGAAATTCTGAAGATTCTGAAGATTCTGAAATAAAGTAGAATTTAAAAGCTCAATCTGAGGATTAAGCAGACTTTATCCTCAGATTGAGCTTTTAAATTCTACTTTATTTCTTTCAATTCAATTTCTATGCTGGTTTTGAGGTATAGGTTTTGTAGAGAAGTGGAAAGTGCATCATTAACCGTTGTTCAAATTACACTGCACGTAAATATGCTCTGGGGCTTTAGTAAGTAAATAATTGAAGAAACAGAAACAATACAATTTCTTAAGAGAGTTAAAAGAGAGCTACGACATTTCCAGGGTCCAAACACAAATAAATGTTTCTGTTGGAAAACAAAATGGGTATTTTAGCTTTTACGTTTCCATCTGCTCAGTTCAGAATTGTCTTCTCAAAGAGATGGAGCAGCAGGTAGAGGTAAAGCAAGCATAGAGTGATCCTTTCAACTTTAAAGATGCTCTTGCTAATGTCACAGAGCAGTATTTTAAGAAGATAGTGCTACTCTGACTAATGGCTGCTCAGGCCTCAAGCTAGCTGATGAATACTGCCTCATACAAAACATTTACCAGTTTTTGCTGGGTCACATTTTAAATGCCTCCCACTAGGTACCCACTAGGTAATTTGGCTTTGTTTTAAGGTAAGAATGTTTGTGGTCACGCCTTTGGACCTGCAAGCTAGTTTGTGCAGCTTGAACTTTCCATCTGCATGCAGCCTTTCTGAGTTCGTCAGCAGCTGTCTCTGTAGTCAGAGCCTGTCTTCACACAGCAGTTTCTGAGATCAGAACCACTGTCACACAGGAGATAAGTATGAAAAGAAAAAAAAAAGCACAAAAAATCCACAGATGTGAAATCACAACTGGTTATATGGATCCTCAGGAGGAGAGGTACTGTCTGCTCTGGTGCATACTTTCCTGTAGCTCTACCTATGGTTTCAACCTTGGAACTCGGCACTGACTATAAATGATCACAGGATTATGTCTCCTACAAAGGAGAAAATTACCTTTGCTCAAAAAAATAAAACTTTTCTGGAATAATTTCTGAACAAGTTCAAAATGTTTCAGAAAGTTCCATTCTTCATTTCACACATTCCATGATACAAATAAAAACTTGACTATTCTTCCTGAGCCTGTTCCTGAACCATTGCCCTCAGTCCAACACAATATTAAGAATAATTAAAGCTAATTCTCAAGTAGAAACTAATCTTCTGCTCTACAGTTGCTATGCCTATTCAAGTCCATAGAATTGAAATACAATTGTACTGGAAGACAATATTCTGAAGATCCATAACTTCACCTTTATCACCCATCTACATCCATCTGAAGGTGTCCATTAGATATAAGGTTCCTGACATCACTGTCAGGTTCATTCATCATGAACCTCCATCTGTCTTTCATCTTTCACTTGGTTTCAGGAAGTCAATTTAACATCTGTCTACCCTAGGATATTATTTAAACATTGTATTTTTCAACAAGTTTATTTTTATTTTGTTTGGTGATAGCCCAGCTGCTTTGGAGAATGCTTCAGCATCAGCAGCAGCAGCAGCATCATCCAAGCATCATCTAATCAGTCTAAGTCGGTGCTTAAAGTTCTTCTGCCACAACAGCTTCAAAGAAAACAGGTACCCTTTGGCAGCAGGTAAACAGGGGCTGTACTTAAACTCCTGGTTGGATCACTCCTTGGGTGATCGATTTTGTCCCAACAAATATGCCTAGAAGCGTGATTTGAGCCCCCATAAGCATATTTAAATTTGCTTTAAGCTGCTTTTAGACATGCCCTTGACTTCTGGGACACTCATTCCTTCTATATCCCAGTTTTATCCTATCTCAACCTAATTAGAATTGTTTGAGTAGCACAAACTACATTTCTGGTTTTTGCAGTTGTACAGGAGGCCCTATACACAGGGGATACAATGGAGTTCTCATTCCTGACAGGTTTCTAGGTAGTGTTATTACTTAAATTACAGGAGAAAGGGGAAAGGGAAGAGTGAGAGAGGAGAGAGAGAGAGAGGAGAGAGAGAGGGAGAGGGAGAGGGGAAAAAACCAAAACTCAATAAACAAAATCTAAAATATTCCTTGAGGTGTCAGCAATCCAACCCATTGAGATTGCAGGTAAGCAGGACTTGCCAAGCTTTGGTCACTCCCAAATATATTTTATTTTGACAACTCACTTCCTTTATTTTTATTGCTTATTCAGTTACCTTGGTTGTCATTTTAATCTAAATACATTTTCAACTTAGCATAATACTAAATGTTTCTGCTTGCATGTTTTTGTGCCTTTCCAAAGACTTAATTGAGCTCCCATTTTGGGTACCACATGCTTGCCAGGTTTCTTGCATTGAACAAACATTTTAAAACTGTCCAATCAGGCTTACTTTTGACTTGAATCTAATTACCACTGTTGGACCTGGCCTTGCTTTGGTCTTTATTTGCTCTTTGAAGTTATTCTTTTCAGAACATTTAAAATTCATAAAATTAAGTTATTCAAGGAATCTAGATGCTTGGTAATCATTAAGCTTTTTTTTTTTTTTTTTTTTTAAGAAAACACATGTAAGAGGTCCAGCCCTGTCTAATTGTATAATCTATCGAGCTGGGCGATCTATTTATGACATAATGGAAAAGTAAATGAGAGTGATGCAAGCTGTGTGCTTGGCAGTAGCTGTTGTAATCAATATTCCAGTCACGAACAAACTGTCAAAACTTAAGGATGCACAGAACTGTATTATTTTATCATGGGCTGGATTATTTTCAAAGGAATCTGGGGGACTTACAGACCCAGCTCTCATTAAATTCTAATGGGAACTGGGAGTCACACTCTATTGAGCTGTCTTGAAAAAAATCACAGCAGTGGTGAATAATTTTGTGAGGTCACCCAATCAAAATAAATTCCCTCATGACTTCTACAGACAGTTAAACAATTTCGGGGGCATAATTCTTCTCTTTTAAAAGGATTAAGAAAACCTAAATAAATTGTATTTTCATTTTTGTGGGATTCCAAATTATGTTTTCCTGGCAACAGCATGGCTTCTTTTTTCCTTTTAGAGGTAAATTGGTTTTCATGTCATACTTTGTCTTCACTGTGCCATAATCCCATGAGAAAGTGATGAAAAATGTAACTGCTGATACACTTGCAGGGTGAAAAGAAGATGTGCAGTACATATTATGAGACTTTCACATTATACAGGTAGTTCTGGTAAAACAACTAAGTGTGATCAAATTTACTGTTAGATTAAACAGCAGGGATCAATAGTTCTCCAACATTAATAAACTTTCATCTCTTCATATAACCTACAAAGTTTTTCTTCAATAATGTATTCATATATTTAATGTTGTGCAAATTTTTACACGAACCCCGAATACATACTGGGCTTCTGTATAATTTAAATGGTGAAATAAGGAAAGCAAGTGCAGCAAATTGTCATGAAATGGAACATTTCCCCTGCTCATGAAGCAGTCCTGTGAGTGACTGTCATCAAGGTGGCCTGCTACCCTCCCTCTGGATCAGTGTTAATGTATTTTCTCACATAGACAGGAGCCTTTCTTTCCACCTTCTTCCTCTTACCTCATGACTCTGCAGGAAAATATTACCCAAATTCAAATTTTCACTCTTGCCAAAAGGTCATTTTCACAGTGACCATGGGCACATTTATAAATTATATACATGGTGGAGAGGAACCTGTCTCTCTTTTCATAAGGTAGGCAAACTGCTCATTCATTCTAACCTGAAGGACGCTGTTCTTGTCTCATCCTTGCAATTATAGAATTTCGCAAATCCATGTGACAGGACTGAAAATTCAAGTTCAGTGATGAGTTCAATGATGCTGTTCTTTGCTGAAGTCGTGTCTCTTGAGTTGGTCTACCTTGTATTACCATGCAACCCTTTTGGGGAAAACAGAGTCTGTTTGCAGGTCTGCAGTCCTGCATCCTCCTTCATGCAATGTCATGGAATGCTCACATTTGTAAAATAAGTGACTTGCTTGCAGCTGGGATTCTTCTCCTGTCATTTGCTTTATCTGACATCAAGGTATGTAAAACTGAAAGAAGAAAAAAAAATTAATCAGAAGCTGAGGACCTTAATTACCAGTAAGGGCTTATTAATATCAGTCTCTATTTCCTCCTTTTCCCCTTCTCCAAACATTCAGTGAGGATACCAGATACAGAAATTAGAAAACTCAGTACAAGTGAGGCAATTTTCTTTTTCAATGAAACCTTTGCTTTTACTGCTCCATGAAAGCAAGACAAGGTTTGTTAAAATTACATTAAAGATGAACTGCTGGACTGAATTAGAAAATAGGTTTTAGACAATCTAAAAAAGAAAGCAGTGAAGGAGATACAATCAAAATATTGATATGATGAATAAGGAGACAGAAAAAGGGAATGAGTAGCTTTTTAGACAAACTAAGTTTTCCTTCACTTCTTTCAATTTCAGTTTAAAAGCTTTCAGTAAATATGTGAATATATTTACACACATATAGGTATGCATGTAGGCATTCATGCATAGACATATACAGACAGACACACATCCTCAGCTAATGTGAAACAGCCTTTTTTCTAACATCTTTTTCATGTGATAACATAATGGTTGCTGTTTATCTAAAAGCTTGGCTATAATCCTTCACTCAGAACACAAATTTCTCAGAACACAGTTTTACATGATATTAATACAGGCAGCAGTTCCAAGAAAATATATCTGGTACTCCCTTTGTAACTACTCTATCATCTCATTACATTTCACTGTTATTATCAATATTAATTCCAAAACTTTCTTAAATTTATCACAAGGTACTTGTTTTGTTATGAATGAATATTTGTGAAGTTTATGATCTCATTAAAATCAATAGCAATAACTTGCAGGAATAAAGGCAACTGAGTTCTAGAAAAAATCCTCAGTAAAAGAATATGTATTTTTAACCACTTAAAAAATTTCCTCTTTTCCCCTCCACTTAGAACATTTTTAAAGGTTACTGGAGCTACTGTTTTTCACACAGTCTTTGAAACTCCAGAGTACCTTCCATCAGCACCTACAAGGAAAGCCATATATTTTCAATCTGTTGAAAATAATTGTGTGGAAAAAACCATTCTGTTGCTTCCAGACACAATCCAATCAGTGTAATGGCTTTTGAGAAAGAAGGAACTATATTCACATTTCATTCATGTAAAGAATGAGATAATAGAAGACTTTCATGGTAGATGAGCACCCTGCAGGTACTGCAGTTTGCTGCAGCATACATAAGGCCTTGTTGGGTTCATTGCATAAGGGAAAAATCTCTCTTAAATTGTATTCTTCCCCCAGGCTTCAAATACATATTTTTTTTAATGGACTGAAGCAGGAACTGGAGGGATTTTGCATCCCAGTACGACTTTTGCTTTTGAATGGCTGCTCTGATGTTCTGGGAGAACTTGACATAATTCTTGTCTTTCTTTAATGAGGTAAAATTGGCCCAAACAGCAGATATCAGGGCCCTCACTACTACGCTTGGATCATTATTTCCCAATCACACAAAGAAAAGCCCTAAAACAAAAACAACAAGGAAATGAACATCTTGTTTCTTTTTGGTGTTCTCTGTGCCTGCTCCCTTTGTCTGGTTTTCAGTTTTAACTGAGATTCAGTAACAGCAGAGTTCAAACGCAGAGTGGTTGCCAGTCCACGTACTGCAGCAGCACTGCCAGAGAGGTGAGGTTTTTTGACAAAGAAAAATGTTCCTTTGCTTTTTATAGCACACCATTGTTATCAGTTTCCTTTTTATTGAAGTGGGAAAGAGAGTCTCCACTTTCCTGTTGAAATGCTGTGCCCACAACAATCCCTTCTCAGTTGCTCACAACTCCCCAGATTACATCCCTCCTGACCTGAGACTGCTCACCTTCGCTCTGCACACAGATGTACACATTAACAGAGACATATCATTAAATTAAAAACTAGGGGGGGAATGTAGAGCTGGATATATTCAAATATGTCTGAGAAATTAGTTTTGAGCAGTGGTGACTGGAATTTACTCTATCTTGACTTGTTTGACTTTACATGTGTTAACTGATTTTAATTCAGGAGATGCTGATGCTTAACTGATATATAATACATATACTTATATAAGTCAGCAAGAGAAAATGTATGCGGGAGAAAATGAATTCTTGAGAAAAAGCCTCATGTTGTTCAACATTACTAAGAAGCATGAAAGATGTCTTCTTAGCAAGGTTTACTAGCTTTTACATTAAATCCTTGTGCTTCATTTTAAACTATCTGGTCTCACATTTTGGATCAGTTCTAAACAGCACTCAAGATTACAAATGTGTTTGCGAAGCACCACTTTTATTACAGATACAAAGATTTGTATTATTTATTTGCTTTATTAATGTAACATTGTCACAGGCAGAGTTTATACTAGTTTTCATCAAATCTTTCTAGAAAAACAAAATACGTGGTACAACTGCATCTGTAATATGGAATTTTTAGGTCTGGAATTGGCAGTCAGCAATCACACCTGTTCACATACCTGCGTAACATGGCCCAGGTTAACACATATTTGCAATTCCATGTGGTCCAAGTGAGTTCACCTAGAGACTTCCTGCATGATTTAGCACAGCTCATGAGTTCACTCACCCCTCTACAAACCTCAAAGATACTGAAAGAAGCCAGAGAAATATTTATGTTACTCTTGCAAATTTATTTTATATGTTAATAGTTAATTACAGCTCTTTCATTCATGGAATGTTATAGCTTTGGGTAATGCTGGTCTTATAGAGGTAATTTTCACTAAGTGTGTTTTATTGCATTGGATACATTTTTTGTGGAGACTAGGTGTTAACTATGCAGCTGAATTTAGAATGGAAACCACAAAATTTCACACCGAGGATGAATAATTCAGTTTTTTAGTTGCTAGCAAGATAAGTGTATTCCTGTCAAATGATCTTTATCTTATTTGTCAAGATAAAGCGCAGTCCCAAAGCCATAAACAGATTGTAAAGGAGACATTTCCTTCTTACCCTTTCTTTCACACTTTCAAAGATCTTTGCAAATCTGTCCAGCTAAATTAGAGCACATTTTTTCTCTTTATAAGCTGGTACTTTTTAAGCAAAAAAAATCTTAGTTTATGCACCAGTATCTAGAAAGGCTTTCATGCCAATTCTTTTAAAATTGTATGTATATTTAATTAGTGCATGCTGATATCTGGAAGCCCTGACATCAATTTTACAACATATTGTGAAAAGAAAAGCTGCATATTTTTATATTTCTGACATATAAAACTTCAGCCAACATATTCTACTCCCTAGATTTATAATCTATTTAAGGTTAGGTAGCTTTACCTCTGACCATAGCTACTACAGTATTGTTCTCATTAATGACAATGAGAAAAAGAGTATCCTCTCCCTTTTCTGTGTCTTTTTACTTCTCCAAAGTCCCACTTCCAGAAGTGTTATCATTTTGAAACAAAAGCAAATCAATCTCTTCCTTTCTACCTATCTTTCTAAACAGTGCTCCAGAGAGAAAAGTATTTTGACCAAACTTGGAACATATTTCCAGGCTAAACAGTAGTTCCCTCAGGCAACAACTTTGGACTCAGACCAGGACCTCAACTCACACAAATCATAAAATGTCTTTGAAATTAAGACTCAAGATCCCTCACTCCTTTATTCATTTTACCTTAATTCTGTTCTTTTAATAATTCACTTAAAATTATTTGTATATCAACAAATATTTTTTCAAGTTGCCTCTTTCAAATTTCCTTAAAAAGATGAAATTGGGAATTGTTCAATTACAAAATTTCTTTTGGGAAATCATACTGAGATGGGCAAAGCACAACAGAATAAGCAATTATTTTCTGATAGAGAAAATTATTTAGAAATCTAATACTAATATACACAGGGTCTTTGTCAAGACCTTTGTCAAGTTCATCTACAGTTTTAGGCAATACTGTCCAACACTGAATTGCCCAACACAGAGATCACAGAATCACTAAGGTTGGAAAAGACCTTTAACATCATCAAGTTCAACCACAAACCAAACATAACCACCATGTTCACCACTAAACCATGTCCTCAAGTACCATACCCACATGTTTTTTTGCACATTTACCAGGAATGAGGCTGCCAGGTGACTGAATTAGGAATGAGTAAGAGGTGACAGTGTGTCTGAAGTAGCTGATGGTTGAAGTCATTGGTTCCTGTGAATGGTGCCTTAGGCACCGAGGGTTTGCATTTTATGGGGAAGATGGATTGGACAAATTTCATAGTCAAGAGGCCCTGACATGACTAAGAATCAGACATGGGAAGCTTGTTTCATTGTGATACCTTGAGATAACCCCTCAGATACCTTGCCTCTGACTGACTGCTGAACCCCTCTTCCAACCTTCAAACAAGGAATCACGAGGCAAAGAGGATAACAAAGAGTTCCCATTACTTATTTATCTCTCAGAGTCTATCTCTGGTGGTTTTTTTTTTCAGAAAAACTTGTCCAGCGTTATCCAAATATAAGGTTGAGCATGCACGTTTCCCAGAGAAATATGTTCCATTCTCACAGTCCTGTTTTTCTCATGGAAGCAATATATGTATCAAAACAACTATAAGGAGCAAAACCAAAATGCCTCATTGTTTTTCAATATTTTCTGTATTTCTTTTTAAATAATAAAAGGGTTGAATCAGTACATCTTTTAGTGAATTTAATGAGTTATCTTGTGCATAAAAGAGTGGCATATATCTCTGTACTTAATGTTTCTGAGAGATAATCACTTATCATTGGATTATAAGTTCCTTTGGGGTTTGTGAGAGGGAAGGAAATGAATTTTCTTAGTATTCAGGAACTTAAACAGAATATAAAATTACATTTGTCTTTTCCATTGCAGTCTAGCAACAGAACAAGGGGCACATTTAGAAAGAAGTCACTCCAAATTTGTTGCCTTACCCATCTAACAGATCCTAGATGTACTGAATTTCCAAGCACTGTCTGCTTACATAGCGTGAAAAATGTCCCTACCCCTGCAGGATGCTTATGGTAAGCACTAGTTAGTGGATAGGGCCAGAAACCAAGGATCTGTGCAGACAGCCGTATGAGCCCTTGCACCCTGCTATACAGACCACACAGCAACAAAAACAAGCAGCATGGACTAATAACTTCACTGCCTCCTGTTAGAATATCCAAACACTCTTAATGCTGCCATGACAGGGACTTGAGCAAGGAGGAAATTCAAATGCTGGCTTGTCTGGAGGAGTTCTTAACTTTCTGTCAATTAATGGATAGGAGAGTTTATCGTGCCTCATTAAGGCATGAATTAATATTTTGTCTGTGCTCAGAGACATGTACCTGGAGTGGAAAAACTTCATAAGAGATGAGGGAAGTATTCTACTGGAGGATGTGAGGTCCTGCAAAGCATGTATTTCAAAGAGCTGTAGCTGTCTAAAAGAAAACAGTGAAAAACATTGCATTTGGAAGTGTTCCATATTCTCATTTTTTCCCCCTTACTTTGTACTAGTTGGGTTATTTACATGAAAACACCATCTTTGTTCCTAAAGAGTTCATCTCCTGCTTGCTCCCTGCCTGAAGTCAAAATAATGCTATGTTTGTAATAGCTTAATCACCTCTACTGCAAACAATTATGAAATTATAAACAGAAGATTATGACTTCAAGTGGGAACTAAGTGGCTGGAGCTGATGAACTCTTAAAAGCAAAGATCCTGTTATCATGCAAATACTTCCAGTAATGAAGAAAATGAAACAAAAATCATGTAAAAAAATCTAAATATGAGTATCTAGATCATAGACAGCAGTTGATCTTTCAGACAGGATAATGGTCGTTGAAATGATTTCATAATAAAACTATAAAGCCATGTTAGCAATTATTATTTCATTATATACCCATTTTTGCATCTGTAATATTTTTTTTTTCATCATCAGGATTTTGTTCTGAAAAACAGAATCCTCCTCTGGCCTACCATTTTTGAAACAGCATCTCATCATTTTCTGCAGATTGCCCACGCGTTTCACACCTTTTATTTGTTTATGGCAGTTACATCCAAGAAAGCAAGGCATTCATGGTTTATACCAGCTTCCCTCTCCTTCCGGTTGAACATCACTGAGGAAGTCAGGAATAAGCCTGAAATGTTTAGCTTCACAAGTACTAAAAGAAGAAGCCAGTGAGCCTATCTGGATACCAGAGCCTGCACAGAGCAGTGCATGCGTTCTCCAAACCCTTCACCTCAGCTTTGTGCACTGTTAGCAAAGGGAAGGGCTACCCCTCAGCCTTGCTCTTTTACCTGCAAGGCAGGATATACCGAGAAAAGTATTTTACACCAACCTACCTTCACAAACAGTTGCAATGATGCACCATCAAATGCTCAACCACTCCTTATATTTCACAGCTTTTCCTTACAGGAGTGATCACAAGCATTCTGCTCAGCATATCTGTGCAGGCTTCATTGGTATCATTCTCTCCTGATTGACGTGGCTTAGCAATGCTGATCAGCTGAGCAATGGCACTGCTTAGAGAGACCTGCTGTTCTCATGCAGGCTGTGGATTTGGATTGCCCTGAGAATCCCTGGCAAATCCTGACACATCCACTTTAAAAGCTGTTTGCTCCCAGTATGCTCTTTGAACTGCACTCAACCTTTGTAATAAGTAGCTGGATATTTACGGCTATCACTGAATTCCATGTGCTGTTTAGGAACCCCTGCACAAGATTCCTCTAAACTTGCCTTATCTATTTTTGGAGTATGTTTTATTTTTGACAACAAGGCGGGCAGCCTGAAAGACCATTTTAGAGATTGCTTTTGCTATTGGCATAAGAATTAGACAACACTAACAGGACACTTCCAAGGCCACTTAGTCTGGTAGAGGTGATCTGGTGCAGCAAAGGTGATGCACCTGAGGACTGAAGTGTAGCCCAGCCTCCAGAAGGCAGAACTAGTTGTAGCAGAGGTGGAATCACCAAGAGAAATCCAAGTTAATGTCAACTCTTTATGCAAGCAGATAGCATTTTGCCCCCTGAAGTCATGGTATATGCATAATTGACTGAAAGTGCCTGTAAAGCAGGATGGAGGTGAGATTAAGGATATGGCAGACATTATTCACATTGTGATTTTTTTTATGATTGCATGGTAATCAGGCGAAAATGAAGGTTTATCCAGAACTGCACTTTGAGAAAATGGTTGATATTTGTTAGATGACAGGGTTTCAGTATATTTGCTTTGCTTACTGAACCTACAGTTACTCTAAAGATGTAACTGTATGCCATGTGATGAGAGCAACACAGACTATAAAAACAGCTTCCAAAAGATAAAATCAGTCATCGGGTGAAATTTGTCACCTCAAAGGACTAAGCATAAGATTCGATAAGACTTGTTTTGGTAATGTTTGCTACCTTGCATGGAGTCTCAACCTCCAGGAAGAATTAATGCATACAAAATCAGGTTTTATTTTTTTAAGTAAATTTCTAGTATTGTGTTGCAGAGAAAATCTTCAATATATTAGTTGGGTGCACTTTGAAAGTGCCTAAATAAGAAATCTAATTTTAAAAATTACTTTTCAAAATCTCCTGGAAAGGGAGGAAAACATCTTCAATTTTATTTCAGTGTTAGGAGGCTGAGACAGAAATCTGGAACTTCAGTCACATTTACACAATAATTTGAAAA